TGCCCGTTGGTATGTTTCTTGAGACTTTTTCCAGCATAGAGAAGGTTCTGATTCGTGGTGTGGCGTTACCTGGTTGGCATTTCAGCAGCGAGTGGGGTGAAGGCACGAATGGCGGCAACCCTACTCTTGTGACATGGCGCGAGAATCCACTTTATGTGGTGCGAAACAATTCTGAGGAGCCATTGCAGATCATGGCCATGATTGGTCAGCCGGACCAACGACACAAACTTCACCTATTGCCACAACAGGAGTTAGATTATATTCAATGCGGTCTGGTGCTCTCTCAAAATACGGACAAGACGATGATTCCCACCTATTTATTGACAGCGAATAACCACCAAATGATTCACAAGGGCCTTTACATGGACTTCCGTGAAGTGGCTAACCGAATTGTTATACCGCCAAATTTTTTTGGATATCTTGTTCCTGGAGCAATGTTTCACGAGCAAGGAAGATTTCTATTGTCTTACTGGTACACCAACGTAGATGACGAAAAAAGGTTGAGTATTACTCGACTTAAAGTGGATGTGGCACGTCATTTACCGGCAATTGCTCATGTCACACTGGAAAGCCAGCAAAGGAAGCGTGTCGATTTTATAGTAGATACTACAACTGACGCGCACATTCTGCTGCGCCAGGAAAAGCCGTATCGTACTGCCAATTGCTCAGACGCGATGACAGAGGATTTTCTTGGTATGTACTTATATGACGAACATGATGAATACCTAAGCGGTGTTGCATCCGCTACAAATTTTCGCGAAACTGGCATCGTGCATCATCTCCCTGCCCCTGGCCGGTACGTTCTTTCCATTACATGTCCGCATGCCAATGGTCCTGTTCCTGTAAGGGTGGAGATTGTGGCGACAGAGGAGGCTCACGTCCGTACAACTGAGCCACCTATTAACGCCGTAAAACTTAAGGATGTAAATGGCGAACTCAACGAAGAAAACATTACTCTTCCTGTACCGCAGACGTTAGTAGGCTTGACTTCAAGAAAGGCGTCGACACGTACGACATCAATTTCCTCACGAATTCCGAGTATTCCTGTGGAAATTGATATTAGAAACCAGGACTTTTCTTTTCTTGACCCGGCACCGGAGGGCATTCCTATTCAGGACATACATCTTATGGGAGATTCTGCATTTGCCGCATCTGCGCGTGAGCGCATGAAACTGAAAAGAAATCCTGTTGCGAATGCGAGCAAGATCAGTGCCCTTGAGGAGGAGATGGATCAACGTGCTCATGTATTGGCTAAGCAGTTGCGTGCCAAAGAGCGCACTTTCCTTGATCCAGAGCCTGAGGGTGTTCCACTTGAGTTGCTTTCATTAAATGAAAATGAGGCCTTTCAGGAATTGGAGCGAGAGCTTCGTGCCCTAAATCGCAAACCCCGGAAGGATGCCAAAGCAATAGTTGCTCTTGAAGATGATTTGTTTGACCGAACACACGTGCTTGCCAAGGAGCTAAAGGAAAATGAGCGGAACATCTTTTTGGATCCACAGCCTGAGGGTGTGCCGGTGTCTGAGCTGTCGTTGGATTTAGACGAGCCGTTTCACACGATGGAGGTGGAACGTCTACGCCTTCGCCACGAGGACCCGCGCGCAAATGTGACAAAAGTAAAGGAGCTGGAAAATGCATTGAATGACCGTGCGCAGGAGTTGGCACGTTTGCAGCTTCGCAAGGAGCGGGCTTTCCAGGATCCCGAGCCTTTTGGGTTTTCCTTGGAGGAGCTTGGATTGGGTTTTGATGACGCGGTTGTGCGTGGCGAGGCGCAACTGCGTGAGCTGAGGAAGGAACCGAGGAAGAACGCGGCGGCGATAAAGGCGACTGAGGATGAGATTTCCAAATTGGTGCGTGACATTGCTCGCAAGAAGGCTGCATTGGATCGCGCGTTTCTCGACCCCGAGCCGGAGGGTCGTCTCGTGGGGGAGTTGCCGCTGGACGAAGACAAGTCGTTTGTGGCGATGGACACAAAAAGACGCCAGCTGCTGCGCAGAGACGAGGACCCGAGTAAAGTGAAGGCTCTGGAGGAGGAGATGAACGATGTTGCTCACGAGATTGCCCGGGCACTGAATGCAAAGGAGCGTCTTGACTATTTGGGCGCATCTCCGTGCGGCGTCCCCCTCGAAGACCTGCCACTGGACTTGGATCAGGAGTTTCGTGAGTTGGAGGCGAAACGCCAGCAGTTGAAGCGCGACCCGAGACGGAAGGCGGCTCTTGAAGATGTGGAGGCGGCGTTGAATGCGCGCACGGAGGAGATCGCAAGGAGGCAATTGGCAGGTGACCGTGGGTACCTGGACCCAGCACCAGCTGGTGTTCCGCTGTCTTTCCTTCCCGTTGACAGGGATGCTCCGTTTCAGGCACTCGAGGCGAAGCGTGCACAACTGAAGAAGTACCCACAACGGAATGCAAAGTCGATTCGGGAAGTGGAGGATGATCTCAATGATCGTGCCGTTGAACTTGCTGACGAACTGAAGGCGGTTGAGCGGGAGAAGTTTCTAAATCCGAAGCCCAATGGTGTTCCTATTGATGACGTTCCCACCAACAACGATGGTCCGTTTCGTGACATGGAGATTCAGAGGCTTCTGTTGCGTGAGGAACCCGTCAGGAATGCGACTGCAATCAGCAACCTGGAGGACGCCATGAACGAGAGGGCCTTGGAGCTTGCGGCGAATATGTTGGCGGATAAGCGTGCCTTCCTGGATCCGGAGCCATTGGGCATTCCTCTTGATGATCTACCACTTGATAAAAATGAGGAGTTTTTGGCAAATGAGGGGGCTGTAAGCGAAATTATCCGAGAGATGCCATTGAATAGTGCGAATGAGATTTTATTGAAGGATAAATTGCTTAAAATGGAATCCTCCAGTAATAATAAAGACGTTAAGGATTTACGTGCCGATTATCTTGATCCAGAACCAGAGGGCCGATTGGTTGAGGATCTTCTATTGGATGATAATGCGGAGTATATGGAGTTAGAAAAGAAGTTGTTTGAGGCGATGAACTCCCTCAAAAGCGATCCAAATGTGATTAACTCCTTGAAGGCCGAAATGAATGAACGAGCGCACCAGGTTGCAAAGGCATTGAATGCCTCTGAGCGAAAAGATTATCTTGATCCTACACCAAGGGGTGTACCTGTTGATGATTTACCACTGGACACTGATGAGGAGTTTTCCAAGCTTGAAGCAGATCGAGCACGACTACGACAATCGCCAAAGAGAAACCAGGAGGAAATACTGTCTATAGAAGAGGCATTGAATGGCCGTGCAAGAGAGCTTGCGTATGAAGCGATTTGCCGTGACCGTAACTACTTAGATGATCATCCTGAAGGCGTGCCTTTGGAATTGCTTCCGCTTAACACAGATCAACTGTTTCAAGAGCTGGAAAAGGAAAGGGCTTCTATTCTGTCTACTTATCCTGTTTCTGCGAGCAAGTTATCTGAAAAGGAAAAAGCACTCAATAACCGTGCTCATGAGCTTGCTGCCGAATATAAAAAATCTGCTCGGACGCAATATATTAGGGAAGAAGAAATTCCATTCTCTGCCGAGAACCTTTCCCTAGAGTACGATATTCCATTTCAAGAATTGGAAGCAAGGCGTTTTCAGCTGCTCACTGGAAAGGAAGAACACCGCGATCATCTGCTTACAGAAATCGAAGAAGCGCTTACAAACCGCGCCAAGGAGATAGCAAACATAAGACAGGAAGAGCAACGAAACCTTCTTGACCAGTATCCCTTAGGTGTACAACTAACATCAACAACACCAAATAAAAATGCGGAATTTCTGCAAAAGGAAGAAGAACTTCGACAACTACGGGGAAAACCACAAAAACAAGAAGAACTTGCTTCAAAGGGAGAAGAACTACGAGCAAATCTAAATGCAATGCCCGCAAAAAAAACAGAAGAAAGTTACCCATATATTGAAGCAAATCCTAAAGGAATTCACATACAACACCTCCAACTAAATACAGATCAAAAATTTCTTGCGATGGAGCAGGAGCGCAGGCAACTGCTCGAGAAGGACCCGCGCAGGAACGCGAAGGAGATCGCTGCGCTTGAGGAGAGCATGAATGCCCGCGCACAGGAGCTGGCACGCGAGAAGAAGCTTGCCGACCGCGCGTTCCTTGACCAGAAGCCGGAGGGCGTGCCGCTGCGAGAGCTGCCGCTCGACGACGACAGCGACTTTGTTGCGATGGAGCAGGAGCGCAGGCAACTGCTCGAGAAGGACCCGCGCAGGAACGCGAAGGAGATCGCTGCGCTTGAGGAGAGCATGAATGCCCGCGCACAGGAGCTGGCACGCGAGAAGAAGCTTGCCGACCGCGCGTTCCTTGACCAGAAGCCGGAGGGCGTGCCGCTGCGAGAGCTGCCGCTCGACGATGACAGCGACTTTGTTGCGATGGAGCAGGAGCGCAGGCAACTGCTCGAGAAGGACCCGCGCAGGAACGCGAGGGAGATCGCTGCGCTTGAGGAGAGCATGAATGCCCGCGCACAGGAGCTGGCACGCGAGAAGAAGCTTGCCGACCGCGCGTTCCTTGACCAGAAGCCGGAGGGCGTGCCGCTGCGAGAGCTGCCGCTCGACGACGACAGCGACTTTGTTGCGATGGAGCAGGAGCGCAGGCAACTGCTCGAGAAGGACCCGCGCAGGAACGCGAGGGAGATCGCTGCGCTTGAGGAGAGCATGAATGCCCGCGCACAGGAGCTGGCACGCGAGAAGAAGCTTGCCGACCGTGCGTTCCTTGACCAGAAGCCGGAGGGCGTGCCGCTGCGAGAGCTGCCGCTCGACGACGACAGCGACTTTGTTGCGATGGAGCAGGATCGCAGGCAACTGCTCGAGAAGGACCCGCGCAGGAACGCGAAGGAGATCGCTGCGCTTGAGGAGAGCATGAATGCCCGCGCACAGGAGCTGGCACGCGAGAAGAAGCTTGCCGACCGCGCGTTCCTTGACCAGAAGCCGGAGGGCGTGCCGCTGCGAGAGCTGCCGCTCGACGATGACAGCGACTTTGTCGCGATGGAGCAGGAGCGCAGGCAACTGCTCGAGAAGGACCCGCGCAGGAACGCGAGGGAGATCGCTGCGCTTGAGGAGAGCATGAATGCCCGCGCACAGGAGCTGGCACGCGAGAAGAAGCTTGCCGACCGCGCGTTCCTTGACCAGAAGCCGGAGGGCGTGCCGCTGCGAGAGCTGCCGCTCGACGACGACAGCGACTTTGTTGCGATGGAGCAGGATCGCAGGCAACGGCTCGAGAAGGACCCGCGCAGGAACGCGAAGGAGA